GACGTCTTCTCATCCTCCAAGGCCTCTTTCTAGATGATCTCTCATTGTTGAGTGACAATCTGCACTTAATGTTTTTACAGAAGAAAAAGAAGAAAGTGAAAATGCCCAATGCCCTTATGGTCTGGGCTTGGAATCCTGTTTCACTTCTGCCACTTTCTATTTATCAAAGCAAGTCACAAGACCAGCCCAGATTCAAGGCAAGGTAATTTGGACTTCACCCATTGATGTAAGAAACAGCATGCACATAAAGTTTGGGAGGTACTGTTAGCCGCTATCTTTAGAGTCAGTCTCCCACACCATACAAGATCACTTTAGGTTGCCCAAAATCCTAGTAGAAGTTTGAGGAAAAGAACAGTAGCTAAGAGGGAGGGATAAGAAATTAGAAAATAAATTTTACTGTAATTACCAGAGCTAAAGGGCATTAATTTCTATATTGAGAAGGTCCACCAAAGTGCTCCCTCAGCAAAACAACAAGCAAAAAGATCCATACCAATAAATATTGTAATGAAATGTTAAAACCCTGACCATAAAGAAGAGACTCTAAAAGCTTCTAAAGAAGAGGCAAGACTAAGCAATATTTTAAAAATCAAGAATAACAATAGACTTATCAGAAACAATAAGAGAACCTAGAAGATGGTGAAACAATATCTTTAAAATTCCGAGAAAAAAATAGTACTTCCAATCCAGAATTCAATACCTAACAAAACTATCAATCTAGTTTGAAATAGAATGAAGATATTGTTACACAAGCAATTTCTCAAAGAATTAAAATCACATGCATATGATCTTAGGAAGCCACTGGAGAATGAGTTCTACCAACATTATGGAATAAACCAAAAGAGGAAGACACTGGCTCCAACTCAGGAAAAAGGTGAAAGGACAACGCGAATAGAAAATAAATGTGACAGAGACCCTATAGGACTAGCCACCCTGTAGATCAACCTGTCTGCCTTAAAACAAAAGGATGGAATGCTCAAGAGGGGATGTATTCCAAAAAAATTGCCTAATTAATTGCTGGATTAGTTTCTAGTTACTAACATTTGTGCATCTGGCAGAAAGTTTGGAGATAAAACTTACTATTAATATGTATTTAGAAAGCCAAACAAATGAAATAAATGCTACAGTTATTAATTCCAAAAATAAAACCAAAAATTATACTATGTAATTCAAATGCAATAATTATAGAGTCACAGTAATGGAAATACTAATTTTGATCTAATCCAAAATTACAATATACTTATACCAGGAGGATGAGCAGTAAGGAAAAGAGAGGGTAATGGGGCAGAACAGTGGGAGCAGGAGAACTAAATATTTTTCTTTTATACAAGAATTTCTGTAGATATTATCTAAAGCCAAAATTCAAAATAGCAGGATAGCATGTTACCAAGAAATATGGAGGGAAAATGCCAGAGGAAACAGCTGATTTGAAAGTGGTTACTGGGTGAGGGGGTGGGATTGGTAGTTGAGGATAACTGCTAGAGGAGGGAGGGGCATACCTCATCAACAAGGGTACCTGCATGATCAATGTTTATATACCTAACCCTGAATTGTACCCCACATCTTTATAATAAAAAATTTTTAAATTAATTAATTAATTAAAAAAATAAACAAAAAGTGGTTACTTCTGGGGAGTGAGCATGGGAAGGAATACACACAGGAGAATACTGTTTTACATTTTGCTTATTAAAACGATTTGATTTTTTTTTAACTAGGTATAACTTTGTCTTTTAAAACACAACTTAACGACACAAGTTTCCACTGGTAGGAATATAAATGATGCAGCTGCTATTGAAAAACAATATAAGAATTATTTAAAACTTTAAAAATAGAATTATAATATGGCCTATCAACTCCACTTTTGAGTATATAACCAAAAGAATTGAAAACAGCGTCCCAAAAGCATAGATGTTTCAGTATTTGTACATCCATATGCATATCAGCATTATTCAATATCGCAGTAATGTGGAAACAACCTAAATGTCCAGAGATGGATAAATGGATAAAGAAAATGTAATAGAATATGGCTTGCAAACCTGGAGCATGTGCTCCCAAGAAAACCCCAAACAGTAAATATTTACATGGCTTCAAAAGAAAAATCTATTGATGCGCATATAGATAAAGTTTTACTGTTATCGTGAATACAGGTAACCTTAATTTAATCTACAATAAAATTATTTACTCATTAAAAATTAATATGATATTTGTGCCTTAAACTAAGAAGACTGTTCTTGTTTGTTTGTTTGACTTCTTCTAACTGTTCAAAATGGTTACTAGAGGCTTTTCTTATTTCAGCATTTCTTATGAGCTCTGGGATATCTACCTCAAAGTTTTCATTTTGAAAGATGATAATAAAGTATTTGTTTACCAAAAAAAATCACAAAGATACCATTAAAGTTACTACTAGATGGTATTAAGTTGATTCATTTTAGAATTCATTCACTAAATATAAGAATTTGCTCAAAAAAATTAATCCATTGTGGATTAATTTAATATTATAAACTCCCCTAATATTTATAAAACTACCTACCATTAGCAACTCTACATATTATAGGCCACTGAAATCTCAATAAAGTCTATAATGATAACCTAAAAAGTAGTGCTACATCTATACATGAAATTTCAGTGTGGTGAGGGGATGGAGGAGGGAACACACACAACATCAATAAGGGTAACTGATCTCAAATCGGGCAAAGTGAGCACCAAAGGGAGGCCCAAATTTTACCTGTACGATGAGCACTTGTATACCTAATCCTGAATTATAACCCACATCTTTAAAATAAAATTTTAAATTTTAAAAAAAGAAACCAGTGCAGTGACTTCTCAAAACAATTGTTAGTAGTACCAATTAGATGAAGAAAATCCGAATTCAGAACTCAGTCAGAGATAAAGATTTCTGAATTTAAAAAGAAAAACAGCTAACGACTGCAGTATCCTTTTACAAAACAATCCCAACTGTTTGATGTAGGGCTCTGATCAAAATACTGCCAGTTGATCACAGTATTGCCATCCATCAATTATGCCGATTTGGTTTCCTGTATTTGACATGTCTTTTTTCTATGGCATTGGTAACTTTCTTGGCTTTGCTTTTTTGGGTAAGAAGAATATATTTGTTTTTGAAGCAGCCTGTTTGTTTTTAAAGTCAAGATTTCAAAAAAGATAAAGTTAATGATTTTAGTGGGTGGAGTGTACAGATGGGACACACACAAGTAACTGTTTCATATGTAGATTTGATTCATGTTCCTGGATGGGAGCAAAAACAGTGTTACGTTTGGATGGGTCTGAGGTTCACATGAAAACAGTTAACTTGTTTTGTTGCTGTTTTTTTAACATTTAGTAGTCTGAATTATTATAAATAATTTAATGGGTTGACAGAAATAATACTTTCCATCAATGATTGTTCTTGAAAGTGAATTGCTTTTAAAATCTAACTACAACCCTATATAAAACAATTTATTATCTTCTGAACTCTATTTTGACTGAAACATTTCATAACTTCCATTAATATGTAAATTAAAAATCTCGTCTTCTCAAACACCTTACAAATTTACTATATTTAGATATTGTAAAATAATTTCAAAGATGGTGAAAGCTAGAAATTATAACCACACCTTGAAAATTGATAATTTTTTATTTCATAAACAATCCATACACTTTAATTTTAATGTCAAGATATAAAAACAGTTGTTACACACTATTAAAAAGTCACAAATGTTCAGAAGTCTATATTTACTTACTTTCATCTACTGGATACAAGAATGAATAAAAATTAGACAGCTTACATGTCTACTGACTAATAGATTGTAGTGTGGTATTAATACAATAGAAAACTAGTTTTTTTGGGGGGGGCGTTTCTTGAGTCAGGCTCTTACTCTGTTGCTCAGGCTGGAGTGCAGTGGTATGATCACAGCTCACCACAGCCTGAAACTCCTGGGCTCAAGTGATCCCCTGCTTCAGTATCCCAAGTAGTCATGACTACAGGTGCATATCACTACACCTGGCTAATTTTTTTAAAAATTTCTGGTATGTAAAGATGAGGTCTTACTATGTTGCCTAGGCTGGTCTTGAATGTCCAGGCTCAAGCAATCCTCCTGCCTTGACCTCCCAAGTGATGGTATTATAGGGGTGAGCCACCATGCCTGGCCAGAGCACTATTTAGTAATAAAAATTAATGAATTGTGGCTGCATTCAACTGGATGAATTTTAAAACTTCTGAGAAAAAAAAACCAGGTCATGGAATACCACATAAAGTATGATTACATTAATATAAATTCAAAAAGAGTTCAAAACTATAAACAATGCAAAACTGTATTTTTTTTAAAAAAAGAACAAACAGAAAATTTAGAATAGAGTTTCTTCTGTAGGAGAGGAGAGAAGTGAATATAATCAAAGAGGAGCCATAGCAGGCACCAAAGATATTAGTAGTGTTCTATTCTTAAGTGAGGCAGTGAGTGCATCAGTGTTTATTATTCACTCATAAACTACATATATTTTATACACTGGAGAAGATGAGAGGTAAGAAATGGATACTACTTATGTAGACAACGCTTTGAAAAGCTTTACCTTGATCAGAGCATACAGAAGAGTAGGGGGGGAAAATGTGGATGTTCAGAGGGATTTTGTTCTGATGTTTAAGATATGAAAAGGGAGAATCTAAATACTATAGATAGGTTCTGCAAGGGGAAGAAACTGAAGAAACAGGAGGGAGATAGCTGATGAAGCTCACTGTTTGAGTTAACTGAAGAAAACTGGATCCAAGACACCCTTGAAGAGACTAGCCTTTGAAAGCAGAAGGAATGCCATCCAATTCAAAGGGAAGGAGGAGGGACAGAAATGGGTGCAGGCCATGCAGCTGACAGTAGAAGCTGAGGTATGTTATGTGTGGCCACTTCTTCATCTTGAATGAAGCAAGGTTTCTAGCTCAGTGAAAGTCCAGAGTTGGTTTTGAGAAAAAGACATCAAATAACTGTTTTGGACAGTTAAAAAATTAGCTCTGCCCCCTCCCGCCGGGAGGCCGACGTGGAAGTCGCCGGCTGACCGGGCTCGCTGGGAGCCGCCTCCGAGACGCATCCTGGGCGAGCCGGGGTGGCGGCGCGAGGCCCGCCCGGGAGCTCTGCGGGGCCGCGGCTGTCTCTGAGGGTCGGCGAGGGAGGACCGGCGACTCGCCATGGGTGGTTTTTTCTCAACTATTTTTTCCAGTTTGTTTGGAACTCGGGAGATGAGAATTTTAATTTTGGGATTAGATGGAGCAGGACAAACCACAATATTGTACAGATTGCAAGTTGGAGAAGTCGTGACTACTATTCCTACCATAGGATTTAATGTAGAGACGGTGACATACAAAAACCTTAAGTTCCAAGTCTGGGATTTAGGAGGACAGACAAGTATCAGGCCATACTGGAGATGTTACTATTCAAACGCAGATGCAGTTATTTATGTAGTAGACAGTTGTGACCGAGACCGAATTGGCATTTCCAAATCAGAGTTAGTTGCCATGTTGGAGGAAGAAGAGCTGAGAAAAGCCATTTTAGTGGTGTTTGCAAATAAACAGGACATGGAACAGGCCATGACTCCCTCAGAGATGGCAAATTCACTTGGGTTACCTGCCTTGAAGGACCGAAAGTGGCAGATATTCAAAACATCAGCAACCAAAGGCACTGGCCTCGATGAGGCCATGGAATGCTTAGTTGAAACGTTGAAAAGCAGACAGTAGTCCAGTCCTTTAGCTCTTGGAATTGAAAGCTGCATCACCTGTTGTGTTCACACTGCGAGATGCGGACACTGCGTGGCTTCACCATGTGCGGAACTGACTGCAATGTTTGTAATAAATTCGGAAAATAAGTGTGTGGAGAGGTAACTTGGTTGAATCACCTGAATATTCTGTGTCATGTACAATATTCCTTCCTTGCTTTCTTGTGTTAAGGCATATTCTGTTTGTATGAAATTCTTATTCCAGTACAGTCCTGTTAAAGAATGCACTCTTCTTCCTGGGGAAAAAACCCTTCTATTTTTGAATTAGTAGTTGCAGCTTGTTTGTATAAACACTAATAAATATCTTAACTCGGATTTTTTCCCCCCTTATAATGAATTAAGTCTTTCCAAAGATTAGGCTCAATAGAGTAGGCTGGGAACATAGTCTGTATAATATAATCCTCATTTGCTTAACTTTTTTGATTTAAAAGCTTTTGGTTGTAGGCATGAATATTCTTTTGGTGGTTAACTTCACTGACATATCTGTAATTTTCTTTTACTTTATAGTTGTTGAAAAATTTTACATATAGTGATCTAGTTGATTTGTGCAGGACCTATTTGAGGTAGGTAGGATGGGTTGTGATGTCTTCACCTGGTGGACGTGGACCAGGGTTCTGACAGATTGGCTTGCTCAAGGCCACCTGTTAGTGAGGAGGGAATAGGGCTCAGAGTAGGATGTTTGGGTCAGAAGCTGGACTCAGACTACATTATGTATTTCTGAAAATGCCAACACTGATGACGCAACCTAACTCGTAAAATAAAATTATGCTAATTGAAGTAGTCACCATACATGCAAAATAACACATGTATTTTGTCTATACTGGAAGTGATCTATGATACAGTAAAAACAATCCTAAATGGTTATATTTGATGGCATTCACAACACGTTAAAGAAAGCATTTCACATGAAAGGAAATAAAGTCTATTTTAAGAAGCATTAAAAAAAAAAAATTAGCTCTGCACAGATAAATGCAAATGGACTCTCAGGCATCTCACCTTCCCCACCTCTGTTGTTCCTGCCTAGAATGTATTTACCCTTCCCTTTCACCTAGAAAATCTTCCCATCCTTCAAGACTCACCTCAGGTTCTATGTCCTCTGTGAAGTCTTTCCTATTTCATGGCTATCCTTTCCTTTTAAATCTCACAGGACTTGGCTGTACCACTCATTTTTCACTTATACACACATAATCTTGCAATAACACTCTGTTGTACATGATTTAATTTTTGTTATCTTTTTCTTGAGGGCAGAAATCATGTGTTTTTTAAAAACAACATTCCTCTCATAAAAATGTATTCTCACAGTGAACATTTGGATACATTTGCTAAATAGATCATCTACTGAAACAAATGTCCTTAAAAATAAGCAATAAAATAATGAAGATATACATGAATAAGTACAGAACTTTGAATCCTCCATTATTGTCTCACAACTACTCTTGGTTTTCAATTTCTAGATCTAGAATTTACTTTTTAGAAACTAAGACACAGACTAGATGTTGACATAAACTAGGCTTAATGTTAAAAATGTGACAACTTAGCCAGGCTTGGTGGCTCAGCCTGTAATCCCGCGCCTTTGGGAGGCTGAGGTGAGTGGATTGCCTGAGCCCGCAGGTTCAAGAGCCACCTGGGCAGCGAGACCTCATCTCTACAATAAATAAAAAAATCAGCCGGGCGTGGTAGCGCATGCCTGTAATTCCGGCTACTCGGAAGGCTGAGGCGGAAGGATCACCGGAGCCCAGCAGGTTGAGGCTGCGGTGGCTGGAAGCAGCCACTGCACTCCAGTCTGGGCGACTGAGTGAGACTCCAACTCAGAAAAAAAAAAATAATAATAATAATAAAATGTGACAACTTGCTTTTGCTCATTAAACTATTAAAGTGTTTTCCTCATTACAATTTTTAGTATTTTTCTTTGCAGGGGTAGTCCCAGAAAAAGAGGCAGAATGTTATCAGTAAAGACAAATTATGTTAGGAATGCCATCTTGTGGTTGAGAATAGTCCATTACACCAAAGGGCCCAGACAATACTTAATTCAGAAATAAAAGTCAATAAATTCATAAACATAAACCATGGCTAAAATATATTGTTACTACAAAGGAATACAAACTAAATATGTGCCTCAGTTGTATGCGGTTTTGGTTCCCAAAAAAGACAATGTTCACTAAAAAGAGGGATAATTATATAGGAATGAATCCCAAATTAACATAGGAAAACTGCAGTCTACAACTATAAATATACTCCTACTAAGACTATTCAAATACCCTTAACTTTGGAAAACTTTCCTCTTGAAATAGGTCTATTCAAATACTCTTAATTTTGAAAAACTTTCTTATTGAAATAAGTCATTTTATTTCTGTATCTACTACTAAACAGTTCTGTTGACTGTTTCATACTGTGTTTCAATTATGGCTTGATTTTCAAACTTCATCTCCTTGACTATAAACATCTAAAAGAGAGTGAAGGACAGAACATTTATCTAATTTGGACAGTGTGGGATACACATAACGAAATGTTGTCCAAAGTGGAGTTTGAGGACAGTTAAAAACACCGGCCCTAATCTGAATAGATGAGCTTACTGCTTCCTCCATACAAATTAGCCATTTTGAGTGATAAATTAACTTTCTAGTTGACAGGGAACTAGCAAACAGTTATATAGTTACAATTGTGCTTAAATCTTTTCAAAGTCTAGTTGAATTCCAGACATTTTAGTCTACATAAAAGTGAGGAGTAGAAACTGATATATCCCTCATGAACACAAAGCACAAGGGTCCATGCACTATACTTCTAGAATAAGGACAGTACAGGTATAATATAATGTCAGTTCTATGGATTCGCCTATTGAACTTAAAGATAGCATATATAGCCGGGCTCGGTGGCTCAGCCTGTAATCCCGTGCCTTGGGAGGCTGAGGTGAGTGGA